CCAATATAAACGTCGAAGAAGAATCAGTATTTGAGTAAAGTCACGAGGAGAAATATTTTCGAAGGTTTCAGTTTATTTTTATTTCGCTGATATAACGAACATATAGAGGGCCTGGCAAAATTACTGAACATTTTGTTTTTGTAAACGTGTCTTGTAGAAATTAAAGAATGTCGATCCTAGAGATGAACCCATTGCTACACTGTTAGTTTGTGTGTGGTATAAATATTTATTTCTTATTTAAAAATAATGATTTACCCATTATTTAATCAGAAATTAAAAATGCCTTTTTGTAAAAATAGTTTCAAATTTTGTAATATGGTTTCTAAAATTCTTTTGCTTTATTGTTTAAAGTTTAATTAAATATGAAGTCTCAAACAAAATGTGGACAAATTGTTGCATTGAAAAAGGTTATTTTGAAGCATTTTGGGGTGATAAAAACTGAATGTTTGCAGACAAACGGTTTTAATATATAGAAAAGGTTTAAAGAGTAGCAAACAACCACGCCAAATCTAATTGCAGGAAGATACTGTTCTTTTCGTAGCAGTAGAGTCATTGAAGCCGTCAAGAAAAGGGTGAAGAGAAATCCACGAAAAAAAAAACAAACAAACAAAAAAAAAACACGAAGAAGATGGCATAAGAATTGAATATTTCGGATATGTTGCTAAAGGAGGATTGTGAAAGAACTGGAATTGGTGGCTATAATCATACAAGATTCAACAACGATATCTGCTCTCAAGTGCCTCCAAGCGAAATCAGCTGGGCAGAAGCTAGAACATTTTTGGAGGAGACCCAGTGTGGTGCAGACAAAGTCTACGTTTGGTCGGCTGAGAAGTTCACCTTCCAAAGCGATAAAGTTTACGACAATTTATCAGGAAGCATTCCCGAAGAAATTATCTTTACTAAATATATATGCAGATGATACCACGGTTTATGGGTACACCTTCAAACATGTAGATCACAACAGCTTTTCTGCTGATCTTTCTACTGACCTAGCCCGCGCAGTGTAACTTGTATATCCGTAACATCGCTAATGACGTTTGAAAAATGGCCGCTTACTCGTAACGCTCCTGTATGTAACTAACATCTCTCTGACTTTAAATGAGTCAGATCAGATTATGACGCTGCTGTGTGCGTGTGTGTAAATTAGAAGTTGAAAGATACCAGATATATGTACGCATGGGAATGAAAGTTTGATACCGATATAGTTTGATATCTATATTGTTTGATACCTATATAGTTTGATACCTATACTGTGTGTTACCTATGTTGTTTGATATCTATATTGTTTGATACCTGTATTGTTTGATACCTATATAGTGTGATAACTATACTGTTTGATACCTATGTTGTTTGTTACCTATATCGTACGATACCTATATAGTTTGATACCTATATTTTTTATACCTATATAGTTTGATATCTATATTTTTGATACCTATACAGTTTGATACCTATAATTTTGATACCTATGTTGTTTGATACCTATGTTGTTTGTTACCTATATTGTTTGATACCTATACTGTTTGCTACCTATATTGTGTGATACCTAAGTTGTTTGTTACCTATACTGTTTGATATCTGTATAGTTTGATGTCTATATTGTTTTATACCGATATTGTTGGAAAAACCGAAAACTCAGTCACAATGTAAGATTGCACTCAAATGAACGCACACGAATCTAACACGATTTTAATATATTTTTTTATTTTATATATCTGCGCAGTAAGAATCATTTGTATAGAATCATTTCCCTCACGTTTGCAAATACTCGAAGTTGTAAGGTAATTTCAAAAATGTATGTCGTCAGTGTGAAAAGTGGGTGAGTAAACATTTTAATCCAAATAAAGTCCTTCAGATTATTTTAGTTGGTGGCAAAGTATATCTTGTTTTTTATATTCGAGTTTGTTTGGGAATTAGCGACACGTACGAAGACAAACGATCTGATATGTTCTTAAACGCAATGCTTTGGGTTTAAATAGATTAAAAAAATGTCGCAGGTGGGATTTGGGGGTGAAGGTTTTATAGAATAATGTCACCTCTTTTTCCCCTTGATTCATTTATAGTATCGCTATCAATGTGTGACATGAGAACCGTGATAAATTATTTAATTGAAATTTAATTCCAATTAAAAGTAGGTTATCCCTGATTTGTTTTTCAATTCAGTGGATGGAGCCACATGTACACTATATATTTCACAATTATTGATCCTATGGTCAGACGCTTAAAAATTATATATATATATATATATATATATATATATATATATATATATTTAACATGAATCTTTTAACAATGCTTGTGTTGGTCAAACAGTCTCTTTTAAGTTGTTATTTGAGATAAGAGCTGGATATACATGCTGCTTTGAATTCTTTGGTCAGTTTGACAGTTTTATTGGACCTGGTGAGGGGATGTGTCTCTGTTTAGTGTTTGTGTGTGTGTTATTTGGTTCTAAGGGAGTGAATTCATGTTAAAAAGATAAAAAAAAAAAAATGAAAACTACAGACAAAAGTTCATTTTCTCCAGCAAAAGATTCATTTCGGTAGTTTACTGGTACCAACAAGCAGAAATATTTCTCCTACCGATGATGGCCATGTTGGTCGAAACTAGTCGAGGAATCTAAATGAAATAATAATAAAAAAACGAAAGAATATTAATCTACAACCCAGTGTGTCTGAAGATTTTAATTTTTAATATTTTTTATTATTTTTATTGTTCATATATATATATATATATATATATATATATATATATATATATATATATATATATATATATATATATATATTATTTAAAATATGATTCCATGATTCCATCGCGATGGAATCATATTTTAAATAAATATTTTTAATTAAATAAATAATTATATTTATGCTCTACTTTTGTATCGAGCACTGTTTTTTAAAAAATAATAACAAAAATACTAAAGAACTTTGGATTATTTACCTAACGAGTTCTTTCCTATTTTCTATATATTTTTACTCACACACACACACACACACATATATATATATATATATATATATATATATATGAGATTTAGGTTTATTTTTATTTTTCTATGTGCAGTGTACCTTCAGGACGTGGGCGATCATAGCCCTTCACAATTTCCCCTCCTTAGTAACTTTATCTTTTTTCCTATCTCTTCTAATCCCTGTTATGTCGACCATTTGCACAATATCGTTAGGTAGGTTATCCTCTGTTTTTCTCTGTCCCGCGTGCCTTCAGCATGTCAAATTTTCTGAGTCGTCTTTTTTCATTATGCCCCGTAGAAATTTCAACTGTTTTTTTCTGATGCAAAGTATAAGTGTTCTTTTTGTTTTCGTTTTCTCCAAAACTTCATCGTTGCTAACATATTTAATCCGTGTTATTCTCATTATCCTTCTGTAGAACCAAGTGTCGGTTACTCCAAGTATTTTCTTCATTTGTGATGAGATTGTACAGCATTCCTGCCATATAGAAGGACAGATATTAAATCACAGTTAAGTACTTTTTTCTTCGTTTTTAGCAAAAATTTCCTATTTCTTAATACTTGGCTTAGTTTTTGGAAGGTATCTTTCGCTATCCCACTGCATCTTCGGATTTCGGTATCGCATTTTCCGTCCCCTGTTTAAACCCTTCCTGGATAATTAAATTTTTTATATTTGCTTGGATTTGGGCATCTCCACTTTGTAATCCGAATGTTGAGCTGTTTCTTTTTGCCGACTACTATACATTTTATCTTCTTATAATTGATGCTTGGTCCTTTCTTCTGGCTTTCCTTTAATACCGTTTGGAATTATATTCATGCACATTTACTCTTACAGTGTATAAGTACAAATGTGTGCATGATTACAATTTCTTTTTGCCTAATACAGAATGTGTGTTGATGTGGGCGTATAATTCTTTGACTATAATATTTCTCCACTGTCCATTATACACGTTGAGTGGAAAGAAACTCCTTATTTAAAATTGTTAATAACTTTATTAATTATTGGTCGATTTACATAAACCATGTTTTGTTTTGAACAGTATAATGGTAGAAATCCACTACCATCTTGAAATTCTCAATAGACATAAGCGTTGTTCACCAATGTTTGTAATCGTCTGCGTATATTCTTGACTGACGTCATCATGTCCTGTGACTTTTACACATTTTCTTCCAATCTGGTTCTTGAAGGACGACCTCTTCTCTGGGCATCTACCACAGATCCCGTACCCATCAACTTGGAATGACAATTCCTGATAGTTTTGGCATCTAATAAAGCACGGGGTCGACAAACACAGCGCCACCATCTTTGCACTCGTACCACGGACGGGTGCATTTCGTAACGGGATGCTAGCTGAGCACGCTCAAGCAATATCAGGCGTTGAGCCATTCTGGGCTATACTTGTCGCTCTGAAATAAAAACAGAAATTAGCAATTAAATTCTACCAGCTTTGGGATCCCAGTATATTTTGTTTCATGTAAATGTGGTATTAAAAATGTTATGAGTAATTTTCAATAGGAAGTTCCTTTCCACCTACATCATATATGGGTATTTGATTTATTATGACATATATAAGCACACACGCAAACACAGACACACACAAACACAGACACAAACAAACACAGACACACACTGACTTTTACGTGAATATTAAAATCAGATTTCATTAAAAAAAATCTAGATTCTCAATCGTTGCTCTCTAGTTGAGACTTTGCGATGGGAAAAAGTTAAACTTTGTAAATGCAAGAAATATACCCAGTTATATATTAATTGCAAATATAAAGGGATTTTAGTATTAAAGTCAAAACTACATCCATATAAGATGTTGGTGAACGGTTGTTTGAACATCGTAAGTAGTGTAGATCACTTAGTATAAGACTGTTAAGGGCCACAAGGGATATTGAACTTTCGGAGAGCCATGATCGCCTGTGGCCTGAAGGGACGCGCATATATAAGAAGAATGAATTGCGACAAAATACCCCATCCTGGATAACAGAAATTTGTCATTATTCAGTGCATCTCCACACTCACTAAATGTCATTCAGGAGAAGGACCATCATTAAGTTTACAGCATCAAGTGCAGCATCCCGTTTCAGTGGAATTAAGACTCTCACGTTCCTAATTTGAAGAGACTGTTGCCAGAACATCTCGGTGTCAAACCGTCTAAAAAAAACGAAGAGATCAATTTAGCATCTCAAATTGTTTTCGCACAAAGAAGCAAATAATTAAAATTATAGACAATAAAAGAATTAATCCCTAATTGTACTTTTTTTATTGCTCATGTTAATTTTAACGCTTCCAAAACTGCTATTAATCATCTAAGAGACTCCTTTTTGCAAGGCTTTTATCGAAGAGACTGCTTTCTGCAAAGCGTTCATCTGAGAGACTCCTTTCTACAAGGCTTTCATCTAAGAGACTCCTTTCTGCAAGGCTTTCATCTGAGAGATTCCTTTCTGCAAGGCTTTCACTTACAGATTCCTTTCTGCAAGGCTTTCATCTAAGACACTCCTTTCCATCTCGATTCCAAGGCTTTCATCTGAGAACTCCTTTCTGAGCTTTCATCTTTCCTTTCAATCTAGAGACTCCAAGAGATTCCTTTCCTTTCAAGGCTTTCATCTAAGAGATTCCTTTCTGCAAGCTGTCATCTAAAGGTTCATTTTCCTTTCATGCAAGGCTTTCATTTGAAGACTCCTTTCTGCAAAACTTTCATCTAAGATATTCCATTCTGCAAAGCTTTCATCTAAGATATTCCTTTCTGCAAAGACTCCTTTTCATCTAAGAGAGTCCTTTCTGCAAGGCAAGGCTTTCATCTAAGACACTCCCTTTCTGCAAGGCTTTCATCTGAGAGATTCCTTTTCTGTCAAGGAGAGTCCATTCTCATCCTTAAGGCTGTCATAAAGAGTCCTTTCCCATTTCTGCAAGGCTTTCATCTCAGAGACTTCTTTCTGACAGGCTGTCCTAAGAGACTCCTTTCTGCAAGTCTTTCATCTAGAGACTCTTTTCTGCAAGGCTTTCATCTAAGATATTCCTTTCTGCAAGGCTGTCATATAAGAGATTCCTTTCTGCACGGCTTTCATCTAAGAGACTCCTTTCTGCACGGCTTTCATCTAAGAGACTCCTTTCTGCAAGGCTGTCATCTAAGAGACTCCTTTCTGCAAGGCTTTCATCTAACAGATTTCCTTTCTGCAAGGCTTTCATCTGTCATCTAAGCGATTTTTTTTTCAAAGGCTTTCATCTGAGAGCACGGCTTTCTCCTTTCTGCACGGCTTTCATCTAAGATATTCCTTTCTGCAAGGCTTTCATCTAAGAGATTCCTTTCTGCAAAGCTTTTCACTCGTTTCTAAGATATTCCTTTCTGCAAGGCTTTCATCTAAGAGAGACTCCTTTCTGCAAGGCTTTCATCTAGACTCCTTTCTGCAAGGCTTTCATCGAGGACTCCTTTCTGCAATCTTTCCTTTCTAAGGCTTTCATCTAAGATTCTACTTTCTGCAAAGAAGGCTGTCATCTAATTCCCTTCTGCAAGGCTTTCATTCATTTCTTTCACGAGGCTTTCATCTGAGAGACTCCTTTTGCAAAACTTGCAAGGCTTTCATTCTGAGAGCTGTCATTTCCTTTCTGCAAGGCTTTCATCTAGAGACTCCTTTCTGCAAAGCTTTCATCTGGACTCCTTTCTGCAAGGCTTTCATCATTTCTTTCTGCAAGGCTGTCATCCGATTTTTTTTTTTTCAAGGCTTTCATCTAAGAGACTCCTTTCTGCACAGCTTTCATCTAAGAGATTCCTTTCTGCAAGGATTTCATCTTCCTTTTCTGCAAGCTTTCATCTAAGAGACTCCAAAGATGTTCTAAAGGATTCATTTCTGCAAGCTTTCATCTAAGAGACTCCTTTCTGCACGGCTTTTCCATCTGAGATTCCTTTCTGCAAAGATGTCATCTTTCATTTCTCAAGGCTTTCATCTAAGAGACTCCTTTCTGCAAGGCTTTCATTTGAGAGACTCCTTTCTGCAAGGCTTTCATCTAAGAGAGTCCTTTCTGCTGGCTTTCATCTAAAGACTCCTTTCTGCACGGCTTTCATGAGAGACTCCTTTCTGCAAGGCTGTCATCTAAGCTTTCAGAGAGACTCCTTTCTGCAAGGCTTTCATTTGAGAGACTCCTTTCTTCAAGGCTTTCATCACTCCTTTCTGTAAGGCTTTCATTTGAGAGATTCCTTTCTGCAAGGCTGTCATCTAGTCCATTCTGCAAGACTTCCATTTGAGACTCCTTTCTGCAAGGCTGTCATCTAAGAGACCTTTCTCAGGGCATTCATCTGCAAGGCTTTCATTTCAGAGACTCCTTTCTGCAAGGCTGTCATCTAAATTCCTTTCAGCAGGCTGTCATCTCAGATTCCTTTCTTGCAAGGCTTTCATTTGAGAGACTCCTTTCTGCAAGGCTTTCATCTAACAGATTCATTTCTTCAAGGCTTTCATCTAAGAGACTCTTTTCTGCAAGGCTCTCATCTAAGAGACTCCTATCTGCAAGGCTTTTATCTAAGAGACTCCTCTCTGACAGGCTTCCATCTAAATGACTACTTTCTGCACGGATTTCATCTGAGAGACTCCTTTCTGCAAGGCTTTCATCTGAGAGATTCCTTTCTGCAAGGTTGTCATCTAAGAGATTCCTTTCTGGAAGGCTTTCATCTAAGACACTACTTTCTGCAAGGCTTTCATCTAACAGATTCCTTTTGCAAAGGCTTTCATCTAAGAGACTCGTTTCTGCAAAGCTTTCATCTGAGAGGCTCCTTTCTGCAAAGCTTTCATCTAACAGATTCCTTTCTGCCAGGCTTTCATCTAAGAGATTTCTTTCTGCAAAGCTTTCATCTGATAGACTCCTTTCTGCAAAGGCTGTCATCTGAGAGACTCATTTCTGCAAAGGTTGTCATCTAAGAGATTCCTTTCTGCAAGGCTTTCATCTAAGACACTACTTTCTGCAAGGCTTTCATCTAAGAGACTCTTTTCTGCAAGGCTGTCATCTAAAGATTCCCTTCTGCAAGGCTTTCATCTCAGAGACTTCTTTCTGACAGGCTTCCATCTAAAGAGACTCCTTTCTGCAAGGCTTTCATCTGAGAGATTCCTTTCTGCAAGGCTGTCATATAAGAGAGTCCTTTCTGCAAGGCTTTCATCTAAGAGACTCCTTTCTGCAAAGCTTTCATATGAGAGACTCCTTTCTGCAAGGCTTTCATCTAACAGATTCATTTCTGCTACGCTTTCATCTAAGAGACTCCTTTCTGGAAGGCTTTCATCTAAGAGATTTCTTTCTGCAAGGCTTTCATCTAAGAGATTCCTTTCTGCAAGGCTTTCATCTGAGAGACTTTTTTCTGCAAGGTTGTCATCTAAGAGATTCCTTTCTGCAAGGCTTTCATCTAAGACACTACTTTCTGCAAGATTCTTTCTGCAAGGATTTCATCTAAGGCACTCCTTTCTGCAAAGCTTTCATCTGAGAGACTCCTTTCTGCAAGGCTTTCATCTAAGATATTCCTTTCTGCAAGGCTGTCAACTAAGAGACTCCTATCTGCAAGGCTTTTATCTAAGACACTTCTTTCTGACAGGTTTCCATCTAAGAGACTCATTTCTGCAAGGATTTCATCTGAGAGACTCCTTTCTGCAAGGCTTTCATCTGAGAGATTCCTTTCTGCAAGGTTGTTATCTAAGAGATTCCTTTCTGGAAGGCTTTCATCTAAGACACTACTTTCTGCAAGGCTTTCATCTAACAGATTCCTTTCTGCAAGGCTTTCATCTAAGAGACTCCTTTCTGCACGGCTTTCATCTAAGAGACTCCTTTCTGCACGGCTTTCATCTGAGAGACTACTTTCTGCAAGGCTTTCATCTAACAGATTCCTTTCTGCAAGGCTTTCATCTAAGAGACTCGTTTCTGCAAAGCTTTCATCTGAGAGGCTCCTTTCTGCAAAGCTTTCATCTAACAGATTCCTTTCTGCCAGGCTTTCATCTAAGAGATTTCTTTCTGCAAAGCTATCATCTGATAGACTCCTTTCTGCAAGGCTGTCATCTGAGAGACTCCTTTCTGCAAGGCTTTCATCCGAGAGACTCCTTTCTGCAAGGTTGTCATCTAAGAGATTCCTTTCTGCAAGGCTTTCATCTAAGACACTACTTTCTGCAAGGCTTTCATCTAAGAGACTCTTTTCTGCAAGGCTGTCATCTAAGAGATTCCCTTCTGCAAGGCTTTCATCTCAGAGACTTCTTTCTGACAGGCTTCCATCTAAGAGACTCCTTTCTGCAAGGCTTTCATCTGAGAGATTCCTTTCTGCAAGGCTGTCATATAAGAGAGTCCTTTCTGCAAGGCTTTCATCTAAGAGACTCCTTTCTGCAAAGCTTTCATCTGAGAGACTCCTTTCTGCAAGGCTTTCATCTAACAGATTTCTTTCTGCAAGGCTGTCATCTAAGCGATTTTTTTTTTCAAGGCTTTCATCTGAGAGACTCCTTTCTGCACGGCTTTCATCTAAGATATTCCTTTCTGCAAGGATTTCATCTAAGAGACTCCTTTCTGCAAAGCTTTCATCTAAGATATTCCTTTCTGCAAAGCTTTCATCTAAGAGAGTCCTTTCTGCACGGCTTTCATCTAAGAGACTCCTTTCTGCACGGCTTTCATCTAAGAGATTCCTTTCTGCAAAGATGTCATCTAAGGGATTCATTTCTGCACGGCTTTCATCTGAGAGACTCCTTTCTGCAAGGCTTTCATTTGAGAGACTCCTTTCTGCAAGGCTTTCATCTAAGAGAGTCCTTTCTGCACGGCTTTCATCTAAGAGACTCCTTTCTGCACGGCTTTCATCTAAGAGACTCCTTTCTGCAAGGCTGTCATCTAAGAGATTCCTTTCTGCACGGCTTTCATCTGAGAGACTCCTTTCTGCAAGGCTTTCATTTGAGAGACTCCTTTCTTCAAGGCTTTCATCTAAGAGACTCCTTTCTGTAAGGCTTTCATCTGAGAGATTCCTTTCTGCAAGGCTGTCATCTAAGAGAGTCCATTCTGCAAGACTTCCATTTGAGAGACTCCTTTCTGCAAGGCTGTCATCCAGAGAGACCTTTCTGCAGGGCATTCATCTAAGCGAGTCCTTTCTGCAAGGCTTTCATTTGAGAGACTCCTTTCTGCAAGGCTGTCATCTAAGAGATTCCTTTCGGCAAGGCTGTCATCTAAGAGATTCCTTTCTGCAAGGCTTTCATTTGAGAGACTCCTTTCTGCAAGGCTTTCATCTAACAGATTCATTTCTTCAAGGCTTTCATCTAAGAGACTCTTTTCTGCAAGGCTCTCATCTAAGAGACTCCTATCTGCAAGGCTTTTATCTAAGAGACTCCTCTCTGACAGGCTTCCATCTAAATGACTACTTTCTGCAAGGATTTCATCTGAGAGACTCCTTTCTGCAAGGCTTTCATCTGAGAGATTCCTTTCTGCAAGGTTGTCATCTAAGAGATTCCTTTCTGGAAGGCTTTCATCTAAGACACTACTTTCTGCAAGGCTTTCATCTAACAGATTCCTTTATGCAAGGCTTTCATCTAAGAGACTCGTTTCTGCAAAGCTTTCATCTGAGAGGCTCCTTTCTGCAAAGCTTTCATCTAACAGATTCCTTTCTGCCAGGCTTTCATCTAAGAGATTTCTTTCTGCAAAGCTTTCATCTGATAGACTCCTTTCTGCAAGGCTGTCATCTGAGAGACTCATTTCTGCAAGGTTGTCATCTAAGAGATTCCTTTCTGCAAGGCTTTCATCTAAGACACTACTTTCTGCAAGGCTTTCATCTAAGAGAATCTTTTCTGCAAGGCTGTCATCTAAGAGATTCCCTTCTGCAAGGCTTTCATCTCAGAGACTTCTTTCTGACAGGCTTCCATCTAAGAGACTCCTTTCTGCAAGGCTTTCATCTGAGAGATTCCTTTCTGCAAGGCTGTCATATAAGAGAGTCCTTTCTGCAAGGCTTTCATCTAAGAGACTCCTTTCTGCAAAGCTTTCATATGAGAGACTCCTTTCTGCAAGGCTTTCATCTAACAGATTCATTTCTGCCACGCTTTCATCTAAGAGACTCCTTTCTGGAAGGCTTTCATCTAAGAGATTTCTTTCTGCAAGGCTTTCATCTAAGAGATTCCTTTCTGCAAGGAGTTCATTTGAGAGACTCCTTTCTGCAAGGCTTTCATCTGAGAGACTCCTTTCTGCAAGGTTGTCATCTAAGAGATTCCTTTCTGCAAGGCTTTCATCTAAGACACTACTTTCTGCAAGATTCTTTCTGCAAGGATTTCATCTAAGGCACTCCTTTCTGCAAAGCTTTCATCTGAGAGACTCCTTTCTGCAAGGCTTTCATCTAAGATATTCCTTTCTGCAAGGCTGTCAACTAAGAGAGTCATTTCTGCACGGCTTTCATCTAAGAGACTCTTTTCTGCACGGCTTTCATCTAAGAGACTCCTTTCTGCAAGGCTGTCATCTAAGAGATTCCTTTCTGCACGGCTTTCATCTGAGAGACTTCTTTCTGCAAGGCTTTCAATTGAGAGACTCCTTTCTGCAAGGCTTTCATCTAAGAGACTTTTCTGTAAGGCTTTCATCTGAGAGATTCCTTTCTGCAAGGCTGTCATCTAAGAGAGTCCTTTCTGCAAGGATTTCATTTGAGAGACTACTTTCTGCAAGCTGTCATCTAAGAGATTCCTTTCTGCAAGGCTTTCATTTGAGAGACTCCTTTCTGCAAGGCTTTCATTTAAGAGACTTCTTTCTGCAAGGCTTTCATCTAAGAGACTCCTTTCTGCAAGGATTACATCAAAGGGATTTCATTCTGCAAAGCTTTCATCTGAGAGACTCCTTTCTGTAAGGCTTTCATCTAAGAGATTTCTTTCTGCAAGGCTTTCATCTAAGAGATTCCTTTCTGCAAGGAGTTCATTTGAGAGACTCCTTTCTGCAAGGCTTTCATCTGAGAGACTCCTTTCTGCAAGCTTGTCTTCTAAGAGATTCCTTTCTGCAAGGCTTTCATCTAAGACACTACTTTCTGCAAGATTCTTTCTGCAAGGATTTCATCTAAGGGACTCATTTCTGCAAAGCTTTCATCTGAGAGACTCCTTTCTGCAAGGCTTTCATCTAAGATATTCCTTTCTGGAAGGCTGTCAACTAAGAGAGTCCTTTCTGCATGGCTTTCATCTAAGAGACTCTTTTCTGCACGGCTTTCATCTAAGAGACTCCTTTCTTCAAGGCTGTCATCTAAGAGATTCCTTTCTGCACGGATTTCATCTGAGAGACTTCTTTCTGCAAGGCTTTCAATTGAGAGACTCCTTTCTGCAAGGCTTTCATCTAAGAGACTTTTCTGTAAGGCCTTCATCTGAGAGATTCCTTTCTGCAAGGCTGTCATCTAAGAGACTCCTTTCTGCAAGGCTTTCATTTGAGAGACTACTTTCTGCAAGCTGTCATCTAAGAGATTCCTTTCGGAAAGGCTGTCATCTAAGAGATTCCTTTCTGCAAGGCTTTCATTTGAGAGACTCCTTTCTGCAAGGCTGTCATTTAAGAGACTTCTTTCTGCAAGGATTTCATCAAAGAGACTCCTTTCTGCAAGGCTTTCATCAAAGGGATTTATTCCTGCAAAGCTTTCATCTGAGAGACTCATTTCTGCAAGGCTGTCATCTGAGAGACTCCTTTCTGCAAGGTTTTCATCTAACAGATTCTTTTCTTCAAGGCTTTCATCTGAGAGACTCCTTTCTGGAAGGCTTTCATCTAAGAGACTCCTTTCTACAAGGCTTTCATCTAAGAGATTCCTTTTTGCAAGGCTTTCATCTAAGAGAGTTCTTTCTGCAAGGCTTTCATTTGTGAGACTCCTTTCTGCAAGGCTGTCATCTAAGAGACTCCTATCTGCAAGGATTTCATCTGAGAGATTGGTTTCTGCAAGGCTGTCATCTAAGAGAGTCCTTTCTGCAAGTATTTCATTTGAGAGACTCCTTTCTGCAAAGCTTTCATCTGAGAGACTCCTTTCTGCAAGGATTTCATCTAACAGATTCCTTTCTGCAAGGCTTTCATCTGAGAGACTCCTTTCTGCAAGGTTGTCATCTAAGAGATTCCTTTCTGCAAGGCTTTCATCTAAGAGACTCGTTTCTGCACGGCTTTCCTCTAAGAGCCTCTTTTCTGCAAGGCTGTCATCTAAGAGATTCCCTTCGGCAAGGCTTTCATCTAAGAGACTCCTTTCTGCACGGCTGTCATCTAAGAGACTCCTTTCTGAATTGCTGATGTCAACCTCCAGGAAAGTCGTTGTTCTTTCTCGAACTAAGCTTCCCGGCTGACAGCAAGTGGAAAGACTATATTGAATCCATTGCTAGGTCAGCGGCTAAGAAAGTTGGTTTGCTGTGTCGTGCTAGACAATCTTTCTCTCCAGAACCTATCTTAAATATCTATAAGTTTACCATGCTTAGAATATTGCTGCCACATATGGTCCCATGTTGCTGTTATTTATCTAGAGCTCCTTGAAAAAGAATAGCAATATTATTGGATCTGATCTGGCTACTCAACTTCAGTCACTTTCCTGTCGCCGTAAGTTTGCCTCCGTATGCCTTTTCCATAAATATTTTCATGGCAGTTGTTCGGATGACCTCCTCGCTATGGTACCTAGATTTTATGAATTTCAGCGCAGTACTAGACTGGCGTTGATATCTCATCAATGTACAGTTGTGCTGGCTAGATGTAATCGTAAATTCTATGCTAACAGTTTTTTTTTTCGTACTTCTCCGATGCTGAATTCTTTTCTGGCTCCATACTTTCCAGCCAACTTTAATCTTCAAAGATTTAGATGTTGTGTGAATCGATATATGCTGTCCAACTGATTACTCTTTTTGTTCTCGCTCATTAGTAATGTCTCGGTTTCTAATTCTTCCACACCCAGTAACCCCTTGTGTCTTAGTGGCTTTACTGCTTTACTTAGGCTGAACTCAAAAATAAAAATAATAAATAAATAAATTTAACGTTTGTTACGTCTGGACAGCATTTTTTATTATTTCAAAAAGAAATTATTTTCAGTTCCCCAAATTTTCTCTTTCTCTCTCTCTCTCTCTCTCTCTCTCTCTCTCTCTCTCTCTCTCTCTCCTTTCGTGATATATATATATATATATATATATATATATATATATATATATATATATGAAGAGTGTATTAAAAATACTTTTACAAAATTAGGGTGGGGGGATCCTCACCAAAACAAAGAAAAAGTTTATATATACATATGTCCGGAAATCCTTCGTTTTTGTGTTATTAAGGCCACGATAGAATCAAGAACCCTCCCCCAAAGTTTGTAAAAGTATTTGGGGCTTGTATCTTGGATTGTACATTTATTCTGAAATTTATAAGTGAAGAGTACTGTGTTGACATAGGAATAAATATGACTCAAAGCGATCTTCAAACAAAGATTCTCTGAAGATCGTAGTGCGACATGAAACTGACAATTGCTATGCATGATTCGTATGTCCACTATTTGTCTGTCTGTATCTCTATCTCTACATACAGGCACGCAGCCACACATACACATATATATATAGATATAGATATACACTACTGTTCAAGATTTTGAATTCACAAACAGAATCAGCATGAACTAGACAGAAAAGTGAAAAAAATGAAAAGGAACTCTTAGACGCATTGAAAAAAGAATGGAATCAGTGACCAAACTTATATTTTAAGAAACTTTCTAAAGCAGAATATTTTGACGAGAGCAAAATTTAATCATAAAATGCCTTTTTTTAGGCATAATAAATTTTCAAATAAAAAATCATGTACACTTTTATTTAACCCTGTATAATAATTTTCTCTTATTTAAAGTACTAAACAACTACTTTGAGGGACAATTTAAAAAATAAAAATGAAGAGGGATGGTTTCAATATACATACATGCATAAAATAATTTATAGCTGTAAAATTATGTAATTTAACATAAGGTGAACAGAATTTTTAACAAAAGAGTGATCAATATCTGTCCAAAGCAATAATTATTATATCAAAAATATTGTAATTTCCCGTTACTTATCGAAGGTCGACTCAGAGTTTGGCGATGTAGAATATATATATTTTATTAAATGTTTTAATTTTAATATTATAAGTGATAAGTTTTTCAAAGTTAATAACATAATTTATTAAGATGAATAAACATTGGATCGTGTTTTTTGGTTTTATCTCATAATCCGATTTTTCCTTGGTAATGTTTTTAGCCAGGTTGTTTTTCTTTCCAAAATATTCCGCGACATTTCTTCGTCTCCTTTGCATTTTGACTTCGATAATTCTGAGAGGAACAGGTGAGTCTCTTTGGGACATAGTTCCCAGATTTCTGCCAATAATTCATTGTCAATCCCGGTGTATTCTTTCGTAATGTGTATTGTTTTGTCTTTCTGTATATCAATTTTGCATTTTGTATTTCTTATTTGTTTCTGTTTTTTCGTGTCAGGTGGAGTAATTTTTTTCGTGGAATTTCCAAAACACCCACCATAGTGGCAAAACACACTAGTCGACCCCCCCAACACACACGAACACAGATACGCCATACAAAATACATTACGTAGTTACTGTATAGATATCGTTATAATAATATAATATGTTATATAAATGTATGGAAAACGAATATATACACACATACTGGCAAAAACAAACACACTAGACGGACAACACTCACGTACATATATATATATATATATATATATATATATATATATATATATATATATATATATATATATATATATATAATCGAATATTAGGTTTTTCAGTTGTTTATAGATAACTCCCTAGATTGACAGATCTATGTGTAGCAAATTTTAAATATGAAAATTTAGTCAGCATCTCTGATAAGCATTTATAAAATAAATATTCCCTCATAATCATTTGTGTCCCGAAAAGCGAAGCATCCATATATATATATATATATATATATATATATATATATATATATATATATATATATATATAGGTTTTTAGGTTTTTTGTTTTATAGATAACTCCCTAGATTGACAGTTCTATGTGTAGCAAATTTTAAATATGAAAATTTAGTCAGCATCTCTGATAAGCGTTTATAAAATAAATATTCCCTCATAATCATTTGTGTCCCGAAAAGCGAAGCACCCGATATATATATATATATATATATATATATATATATATATATATATATATATATATATAATCGAATATTAGGTTTTTCAGTTGTTATAGATAACTCCCTATATTGACAGTTCTATGTGTAGCAAATTTTAAATATGAAAATTTAGTCAGCATCTCTGATAAGCATTTATAAAATAAATATTCCCTCATAATCATTTGTGTCCCGAAAAGCGAAGCATTATATATATATATATATATATATATATATATATATATATATATATATATATATATATATATATATATATATATATATATATATATAATCCATAAAGATATTAGCAGGAATGCCACTTTGGGATTTACATTTCGTATATTTGTACGCACTTTGAATCGCACCAATATACAATGTGCATTACAAGTCGACGACAGAACACTCTCAGTATATTTTTCCTTACAAGTATTTCCTTGTCGCTTTAGTGAAAGATGCTTTAATTGGAAGGCGTCACAGTTGACACACTTCTAACAATCCGCACTTGAAACAAAATTGATAATAATAACCGTGGCTGGCAAGTAATTCGGATTCTGTTACTGCCACATTTTTCTAGTGCTTCTAAAGTTGCTAGTATTTCAAGTATATTTACTAGAGCAAAATCTTTTTTGGCATCCACTATAAACACTTAAAAATTCGATGTGACTCCGAAAAACATGCCTTTAAGCAAACAACATTTGATAAATAGAAAATAATAAGTTCTTTTAATTCACATTTCGTTATTACTAGCCTAAAATAAGCAATCGTTCTGTATTTTAAAGAAAACGCCATTTTCCAATTTTTACTTAATATATATATATAATTAAAAAAAAACAAACAAACATGTCTTTAATCTTTACTATAATATGCGGGTCGCCAAGGATTCATCGTCGGAGGCATTGTCATGGCAAGCCGTGTTCAAATGACACCCGTGTCTGCCGAGCTAACTTTTTTGAGAGAAGAAATGGGTTCATGACTTTACGAAAGGCATGAACGGATTTCTTCTCTCTTGCACAGCTGAATAAACTAGAAATTCTAGCTTTAGATGGCAACTAGTCGAGGAAAATAAAGGCGTATTCTGAATGCAAAATCATGAATCCAGTGGCTACATTGGAGGTATGCTCTTATCATTTTAAAGTTGAAATGCCCCTACGTAACCGTAAGTTCTTCACTCGTTATTCTCACGTTTGAAACTCTCTTCCGGCTTATGCCTCTTTTGTGGCTTTGTTAGGGCCAGAAATAAAGACACAAGAAAGGAATTGAGTTAAACAAATATATTAGAAACAGTAATGCAAACATAGACAAACAAGAGTGTTACAGCAAGAATGTTCGGTCCGACTGTCAGAGCTGACTGCTAGAAACTTCCCTCTCCAAAAGGCTGTACCTGCTTCTATTTATAGCTGGGAGAGTCCATGCGTTCGTGGGTAAATTACCATAACAGCCGCCCTGTCAACTTTGATTTTCAAAAATTTAAACGCTATATCATTCGTTATCTTCTGTCTTCTTAATTCTTCTTCTTTCATTGTCATCTCTCATTTTCCTCATATTCTCTATCACTCAATAACCGTTTGTCTCTTCGTGTTTTTTTTCCCTTTCTTGAGGTGAAATGATTAAAAAATACAAGAAAAAACTCCTCTATATTTCCAGGGAGGTGACGGGAATTCAGTGATATTAAAAGAAAGGAATCTGTGTTGATCCATGATCGACTACGCCTTGAAAGGATAGGGCATTAAAAAAAGGCTTAGTTTGAGATAACGCTACAGTAGAAGGACATTCATTTAAGGGCTGAATTCTTTGAAGTCAAAATCAATCTTTACACACACACACACACACACACACACACACACACACACACACACACACACACACACACACATAAAAATAAAAAGAAACATTGAAGTCAAAACTCAGAAGCGACAGGCTGTTTCATGCTTGACGCAATCATATCATCAAGCCGCCTGATGATTGCGGATATTCTCACCTCACAAAATGACATTACTACGTTCCCCAGAAGCGTGAAGAAAGTTTCACCAGCGAAAACTACGATAGAACTTACGGTTACATCTAGACATTTCAACTGTCAAATGATGAATTCTTAGGTTAATGGTTTCGTTTTGTACTCTATTGCAGAGATGGGCGAAACTAGACCTAGCGCAGCCTGGTCCATGTTCAGTTTCCTTATCCTCTGTTCAGAAGAACAACTGCCAGATATTTGATGGCTTTGTTTTACAAACTATAGAGTCAAATTGAAAACGCGTGGACGATGAAAATAATAATTCCAGGTATTATTAATGGTAGCCATAGAATAGTTTCGATAATCAGAGATTATACAATGATAGTTTTATAAAAATCAACTAGAATTCTAAAGAAATTCTTCGCTATTTTAGAAGGCTTGTTGTCACTCGAACTTCAGTGAAATTCACCAGCTACATTTTTTAAAAGCATTTCACCCCAAGCAAGGCGGCAATGCTACTGGTTCGCAGTGGGTTACATAGCGTGAAGCTGAGAAAAAAAAACTGCGTATAGAGGGAATGAAGAAAGAACGGGCTTCAGAACATCAGAAGATGGCGATTGACGTACATTTAATTTTTTGAAGATTGTAGTTATCAGGGAAGCAGGTAAACGGAAGGGATTTCCACAGGCGGGAAGTGCGAGAAAAGAAACTGCTGAAGTAGATGAGGCGGTTAGATTTAACTATTTCGACGCTAAAAGGGTGGGACCTTGATGCTTAAATTTATATAGTCGGGGCACCAGGAAAAAAAAAAGAAGAAAACTCCGTCTAGTACAATAATAATAGTGACCTAAAATTTGTTTGGGCAACTAGTGGAAATAAAGTACTTGACACAGTTTTTTTTCCCCCTCTGTCTGACACGGAGATTACTGTATGAATGTATTTCATTGTGCCGGTAATTTTATCACTGTATTTTCTTTCGGCTGGAAACAGTAGCGTCCATTTAAATTTCTTCTCGCCAATATCTGATATAGCAATTATCTTTGAGTTTTCAAAATGGCAACTTCTTGCACAGATACACGAAGACACTTCCGATCGCAAATCTGTATAATTATGAAACGCCACTAGACGCCTACACACAACTTAAGGCAAGTCGCTTTCTCTCATTCTCTTTCTTCCATACACACACACACACACACACACACACAAACATACGCGCGTGCACACAGACACACAAACACACATAAAAACACACACAAACACAAACATACAGGCAGGCACACACACACAAACACACACACGCATATATACATATTAAGCATATGCGCAGCAGAATAATGGTTTATTGGTAAGGAAAACAGTTTCGGTAAGATGTGGAGAAATGAAAGTATACAGATCGTGTTACGACAAACTTCCAACTTACGGAGGCTTGGTTGTTCAGATCATTAGAATCCAAAATCATGGCTTTTGCTGATGTCCGAACACCAACATCTGACCGGTTTGTTTATATACACCCCATACGAATACACTTGGCAAATTCATAACACCATATCGGTTCACTATTTACATTATTCGGACTATTGTTCTCATCTCTGTCGCCATATGTATTACGACGTTTTGGCCGTTGTACGCTCCGGCCTTCATCAGGTGGTTGAAATGTAAAACTGAACCCTATAATTCGCTCACTGGCGTAGAATGTTCTAGTTCCACGTGCTATGGACACATGGCACAGTGGATAGAGGCGTTAGTGAGATCCAATGACAGGACCCAAAAAGTGTGAGTTCGATACCCGGTTAAGGCAGTGGAGAACTTGGAGAGGGGAATTAACAGGAGATAACCAATAACTGACATCCATTAAACATGGCACGTGGAACTAGGACAGTCTGTCCCAGCGAGCGAAATAAAGGGTTCAGTTCGACATTCCAACCACCTGAAGAAGGCCGGAGCGTACAACGGCCGAAACGTTGTAATAAATATGGCGACAAAGATGAGGACAATAGTCCGAATAATGTAAATAGAGTACATAATACTTCCTCTCAGAAATATAGACATATACCTTATCGGCTGTTCACATTTCTTGATAAAATATTTTATCATTGACATGATCCGAATAATTTCCGATAAGGGTGTGGTTGAGAAAATCACTCTCCTATAATCGCTTTAATGTCCAGACAGTAGCAGCTAGTTCTATTTGTAGTTTCCGGCTCAAAAGTTTTTTTAACAGGAGTAGAGGTTTATCCGATGTTTCCTGTTTAGGATTGGGTCTTCGCTTCCATCTAAAGTCTTTTTATTCTCTTTCACTCAGTAGCTTCTTCCGTCTTAGTGGCATTATCACCTTGATGGGGCGAATATATTAAAAATAAAAAGTAAATATTTAGCTATTGACGTGGGTAATATTCTAAATTTCTCGGCTGGACTAAGTAAGTGTAACTGTGTGTTCCAAGGAGAGGGGAAAAATTAAGGTTTAGATAAAAAAGATCCTCCTCTCAAATAAAATAAAAAAAAGTCGATATAAGTTGGAAATGTATTGTACTTCTGAAATACTATATATTCGATAGGATCAGTTGATGGTCGAAAATCCCACAAAAAAGTAAAGAATGAAAAATAAAAAAAGAAGTGGCAGGATATGACGATGGCATTTTATTGCACCGTGAGCTGATCACTAACTAGCGAGAAGGTGATATTTTCTGGTAAAAAAAAGGAGTCTATCACTCCCAAATGAGGTTTTTGGCTTGGTAGAGCGTAGATGACTCAAAAAAAGACTAGTTAAGAAAGTAATCTCACTCAACGTACCCTCTCCATAAATGACGTCATACGCTGGGGACAATAAAAGTTGCCAATACAGGCGCCATTGTGTTAGAAACAGAGTGCTGGTTTGCTATGTGTTAACCATATGATACAAATACTATGCAATTAACAAATGTATATCATTTCTATTCCAGACAGTCGCTTCTACTAAAAAAAGTACATTAATATATATTAATTATGACAGCATTATCCACTGTGATATGTGTCCTTAAGGACACATAGCACAGTGGATAAAGGCGTTGGTTACATCCAGTGACAGGACCCAAAGAGTTGTGAGTTCAATACCTGGTTAAGGCAGTGGAGAACTTGGAGAGGTGAAGTCTACTCCAGCGAGAGAAATAAAGGGTTCAGTTCAACATTTCAACTGTCTGAAGAAGGCCGAAGCGTACAACGGCCGGAATATGGCAACAAAGATGAGGACAATAGTCTGAATAATGTAAATAGTGTACATAATACCTCATTTCAGAAATATAAACAAATTATTTCGACCAGTAAGTAATTTATGATTTATTAACTTATTTTCGCGATGTAATAAGCTTTTCCTTGATTTATATCATATTGGTATGTATTCTATACATTGAACTCTCTGTGGATCTATCTTTTTAATATTTTATATTAAAAAGAACCACTTGGATTATATTTTCCACTTACGGATATATATATATATATATATATATATATATATATATATATATATATATATATATATATATATATGGACAAAAGAAATTGTGCAGGATTGGAAAGGCTATTTCTACCTTCGTTAATCTTTTATCACAGGCTTTGGGATACCCTTGATGTTTTGTTAAAGGTAAAAACTGGTGTGTACAAGTCAGTAGTACTGACATCAGTACTTTGTAGTGTCGAATATTGGACTCTGTACCGATGACACATTAATCAACCTGATGCTTTCCACATGCGTTGTCTACGTACGATCAGCAGCAGAAAACTATGTGATCGCTTTAGAAACAGTGAAGTTCTGTCTAAATGCAGCATGACAGGTGTTGAAGTTATCCTAATGAAAATTCCACTCAGGTCGCCAGACATCTTTCTCGTATGAGTGATAGCAGACTTCCAAAACAACTTCTATTTGGTCAGTTTCTAACAAGCTGGTCAGGTGGAAGGCCACTTTTGCGTTACACAGACAGATTCAAAGACAATCTGAAGTGATGCAGCATCCATTTTTCTTCCTGGGAAAACAACGTCAGAGCGAAGGAACTGGCTCATGTCCTACTTGAACATCGGGATCAACTGCGTGCAAATATCAAAGAAAGTTGGCAGCATGTTGCTCTTCTCAATGATAGCCTTATCGACAACTGTGGGTGTGTCGAATGCAGTAAATCAGGTCTTGCTGTCCATCGCAGGAACATGTGATCCTCAATCACTCGAGTAAAATGGCTCAATCACTTGTTTCACCTGCCTAAAAATTTGTAAAACACCTGCAGGCGTTGGGAGACACATGCCTGTCCATAAAACGTTGAGCACGTCTTTATTTTACTGATTCCTCATTCCTCGTCCGCGACAAGAGAGTCCATAATATATATATATATATATATATATATATATATATATATATATATATTACATTGATACATTAATAATGTAAAACCAAATTCTCTCTCTCTATATCTATCTATCTATCTATCTGTCTATATATATATATATATATATATATATATATATATATATATATATATATATATATATATAGACCCACCTTCATGCGCATATTATTCGTGATTTGTTGTTTGCTGATGATGCGGCTCTTGTAGCGACATCCTTTGAGGGGGCCCAACATCTAATAAACCGTTTCTCTGCTGCATGTAAAACATTTGGTCTTACACTTAGCATAAAGAAAACTGATGTTGTACACCAACCTTGTCCTTCTCCGAAGCAATTGCGTGGTGAGAAACAAAAACCACCAGTCTACAAATTTCCAGAGAGGCCATTGAAAGTAGAAGACAAACCCCTGAACTATGTCAAGTCTTTCACCTATCTTGGTAGCAAAGTCAATTGCAGTGGAACTTTAGATGATGAAATCATGCATCGGATTGCTAAGGCTACCAGTGCTTTCGGCAAACTTCGCCATCCCTTGTGGAATAAGCGGGGTATTTGACTTGATAGGAAAATTCTGGTTTACAGTACTTGCCATCCTTTTGTATGGCTCAGAGTCGTGGACTCCATACAGGTACCATATACGCCAGCTACATGTTTTCCATAGAAGCTGTCTGCGTGCAATTTGTGGAGTTAAGCTTCAAGATAGGACATCTAACGTAGACCTGTTTAACAGGTGTAATATTGGAGGAATCGAGAATTTTATCATACAGTCTCAGTTACAGTGTACTGGTCATGTATTGAGAATGTCTGATGACAGGATACCCAAGATACTAATGTAAAGCCAGTTAGATCAGGGCTACAGGAATGTAGGACGCCCATGGCTAAGATATAAAGACAAGCTGAAAAGAAACTTGTCAGCAGTCAATATACCACATAACACCCTTGAGCGCT